TTATGTGTATTAGTCCAGAATATTCTAAAGCTCAGAATATTATTTTTTTTAAAATTTAGTTTTATATTATTTTTATTTTATATGTATGAGTGTATTGCCTGCCTGTAAGTGCAGTTATGTGTAATGCTCACAGAGGTCAGAAGAGGGCATTGGATCCCTTGGAACTGGAGTTACGGACAGTTGTTAGGCACCTTCTGGGTGCTGGGATTCGAATCCTGGTCCTCTGCAAGAGCAATCAGTGCTTTTAACTGCTGATCCATCTCTCCAGCCCCTCTAAAGATTAAAAAATATGTATTTTCTTTGTATGAGTGTGTTGCTTGCATGTACGTAAGTGCACTTGTGTCATGCATTACCCCAGGCAGTTAGAAGGAGTTGAATTCCCCTGGGACTGGAGTTAAGGATGTTTGCCAGTCTCCACGTGGGTTCTGGGAACTGAACCTGGGTCCTCTGCAAGAGCAGACAGTGCTCTCAACCTCTAAGCCATCTCTCCAGCCCCCTTTCTAACAGCTGTTTAATGAAAATCAACTGTGTTCCAGATTCAGCTATAGTTTACTGACTCTTTGGCTATTGGATAGAATTGTTTTGGTTTTTTTTTTTTTTTTTTTTTTTTTTTTCGGTCTTTTGAGACAGGGTCTCCCTGTAGCCACAGCTGAGCTGGATTTGCTATGGAGACCAGGTTAGCCTCGAACTCACAGATATCCGTCTGCTTCTGCCTCCCAAGTGCTGGGATTAAAGTAAATTTTTTATTTTATTTATTTTAAATGTTTTTTCTTATTTGTGTGTGTGTGTGTGTGTGTGTGTGTGTGTGTGTGTGTATGAGTGTATCGCATGTATGCAAATGCACCCATGTCATGCAATGCTCAAGGAGGTCAGAAGATGGTGCTGGAGTTACAGATGGTTGTTAGCCGCTATGTGGGTGCTGGGAATTGAACCCAGGTCCTCTGCAAGAGCATTCAGTGCTCTTAACTGCTGAGCTATCTCTCCTGTCTGGATAGATTTTTTTTTTTCTTCTTCTTCTTTGAGACGGGGTTTCCCTGTAGGCCCAGCTGGCCTGGAACTTGCTATGTAGACCAGGCTGACCTTGAACTCACAGAGATCCATCTGCCTGCCTCTGGAGTGCTGGGATTAAAGGTGTGCACCACCAATGCCCGGTGGGATAGAATTTTTTTTTTTTTGTCTTTTTGAGACAGGGTCTCCCTGTAGCCCCAGCTGTCCTGGAACTCACTATGTAGACCAGGCTGGCCTTGAACTCACAGAGATCCGCCTGCCTGTGCCTCCCAAGTGCTGGGACTAAAGGCGTACGCCACCACGCCTGGCCAGGATAGAATTTTTAAATACACCTGAAATGGGCAGATTTTTCATGTGAAATGCTACCCACTGTCCATATTCAATAGTAATAGATCCTCAAATAGCCCGACACAGAAGGGATACACTTTGAAGCCAGATGAACTTGAGTTCAGATACTGGCCCTGCCCCTTACTAACTGACCCTGAATGAATATCTGCATCTGTAAAATGAAGATAACAATGGCATCCTCTTCAAAGACTGCCATGAGCTTTGAATGAGTACATTGTAGGCACTCTGCAAATTCATGGGAAAAAACTTTTTAATCTGTAAAGAACTACAAGAATTCAAGAGATAATGATGCAGTGAGCAGGTGGAACAGAAAAGATTAAAAACAAGACCAGTAAACTTGCAAATAAGTAATAGTCATTTAAAAATTAGGGCATAGAACAGTCAGGAAACAAAGTGACTTTCATGAAGTATTTTGCCTTACTTTCAGAGTATCTTTCGACTTTGTTAAGTGTTTGACACATTTGCAAGAGGAAAACATTGGGTACAACCATCAGCACTGCTCAATAAACACTAAGCAACAGACATATTAAACAAAATAAATTCCTGAGAGTATTGGGATCAATTGAAAGTGAGAATCAAGTTTATACAGAAGCTTAATTGCCAAAATTTAACTTCATAAACACCATATAATGAGAGTATTCTTAGGGGTTTTTTTGTTTTGTTTTGTTTTTTTACGGTATATTTATCTTGGGCACTTTACATACATTGCCTTAATTAATCCCTACAATCACCTCATGAAACAGAAATGATCTCTCCCTTTCCACAATAAGGAAGTAGAGAAAGGAATTGGGGGTGGGGTGGAAATGCAAATCCAAAGTTTATCTGAAAAGAGTGAGTTATTTTATTTCCTAAATCTTGCTAGCCTCATGAACCTCCTCCTAAACACTGCCATTTGCTCCTGAACATAATCACCACCACCTCCCAGTCACAGTTCATCCTTCTGGTCAAAATGGACTTCTCTTTTACCCAGAGATGATCCTTCAGCACTGTCTTGCTGCAGCTGCCTGTCGTCTTCTGGTTCCTCCTCAGAATCCTCTTCACTGTCCTCCTCATCCTCATCAAGTCCCCAGATGTCCTCTTCCCGGGCTTGCTTCTTCACCCTCTTCTTCTTGGCCTCCTCCGCTTCCTTCTTCTTTTCCATTTCTTCATACAGCTCTCTCCATTGCTGCTCTACAGCCTGTTTAAAATGTGGTATTTCAGCTTTACAGATAATATAAACAGACAGCCAACTTTAGAACTTCTGCTCTCAACCAGGCATGGTCGGTATGCCTTTAATCCCAGCACTCGGGAGGCAGAGGCAGGGGGATCTCTGCGAGATTGAGGCTAGCCTGGTCTACAAGGAGACCTTGTATCCCCCCCCCCAAAGAGAGAAAATCTGCTCTCTTCTGATTGCCTGCAAGACTCCTAGGATGGTATTTATTTAAATATAATTTTTCATTAGCTCTGGAGTGGAGAGGAGTATGTGTCTGTGTGTATTGATGTGTAGTTCATTTGCAAATAAAATATATTCAAAGCCAGGCATGGTGGTGCACACTTGTAATCCCAGTGCTTGAGAAGTGGAGGCACATGGATCAGGAGTTCAAGGTCATCCTCTGCTACATAGTGAGTTTGAGGTCAGCTTATGCTACTTGATACCATGCCTCAAAATGAATAAAATAAAATAAAATAATAAAATAGATCCAGCTTTACTATTTGTTAGAGGCCTAATTCATTGCCCAACACAGATTAAACAATCCATGGGCATTATTTACTTTCCTCACAGTGATACACACAGTTCCTCATCCCAAGTTCTAGATGAAAGATTTGATGTTTAGATTTATTTATTTATTAAATTGTTCTTAGACAGGGTCTTGCTATAAAGCCCAGGCTGGTCTTGAACTTTTGATCCTCTTCCCTCAGCCTCCCGCAGTGTTGGACTTGCAAGTATGTGCCACCATACCCAGCTTGTACGGGCTTCTTTGTATATTTCTTGTATAAAATGGTTATAAGCCTCATGAAGACAGAAATGTCTCTATGATTCTATTTTATTTCATTGCTCTATCCCCAGTAACCATCCATTTGTGTTTTGAACAGGCCCTTATCTGTCAAGTGAATGCATGGTTTAATCGCTGTTATCTATGGAGCACATGCTAGATGCCAGGAACTTAAAAGATAGTTATGCCGGGCATGGTGGCCTGTGCCTTTAATACCAGCCCTCAGAAGGCAGAGACAAATGGATGTCTGTTAGACTGAGGCCACCCTGGTTCACATCATGACTTCCAGGCAGGCTGTGACTAGGGAGACCCTGTCAAAAAACAAAACAAAACCAAAAAATAATCAACAACAACAACAACAAAAAGAAAAGCAAAAAAAAAAAAAAAAAAGTTATTTTCCCCAATTGATAGATGAGGAAAAGTTAGAAAAGCTAATGAAGTTCATACAACCAGTAAAGGATGGAGCCTGGAACTGAACCTATGCAGTCCACCTCCAAAACCTGGGCTCTTAACTAGTATGCAATAATGACACAGTACAAAAGTACCAGAGGGCTGAGGACGTAGCTCAGTAATGGAGTGCTTGTCCAGTGCAAACAAGGTTCTGGGTTCTCCAGCATCACAAAAGAAGAAAAAGGGATGATAATCCGAAAGTAAAAAAGACAAAACTATACTCTATCATACTTTATAAACCAGGTTTGGAACAGGTGAGATGCAGATACAGGTGCCTGCCACCAAGCCTCCTCCTCACATACAAAATAGATACATAAATGTAATAAAAATGTAAAAATTAAAATGTGGGTATGGTGGCACATGTCTGTAATCCCAGGATGTAGGAGATGGAGGCTGGGGGATCAGGAGTTCAAGGCCATGAGACCTGTGACATTGTCTCAAAAACAAAACAAGCAAGCAAACAAACAAAAAAGTATAAAAAGTCTAATAACTTTTCTAATGATGATTATTTCAACACTTTTTTTTAAAATATGAAGAATCACGGTTCTCTAAAAAAAAAATGGGGCTAGGGAAATGACCTAGTTGTTAAGAAAGCTTGCTGCACAATCATGAGGACTGGTTCAGACCCCAGCACCCATGTAATGAGCCATGTGTCCCATGCAAAATTTAACTACAGCTCCAAGGGATCTGGTGCTCTCTTCTGGCGCATGCACACACACACACACACACACACACACACAAACACACACGCACACTAATATTTATTTTAATGGTGTTGGGAACCAGGTTTGGTGGCACAGACTTGCAATCTATTACTTAGAAGGCTGAAGCAGGAGGACCAAAAGTTCAAAGCTAACCTGGGCTACAGAGTACCTTCTAGGTCAGCCTGGTAATCTTGTGAGACCCTGTCTTAAAAGAGTCCTGGGGGACTGGAGAGATGGCTCAGTGGTTAAGAGCACTGACTGCTCTTGCAGAGGACCTGGGTTCAATTCCCAGCACCCACATGGCAGCTACGAACCATCCTTAACTCCAGTTCCAGGGGAATCCGAAGCCCTCTTCTGACCTCCGCAGCACTGCATGACATGGGTGCACTCACATACATGCAGACAATATACTCATACACTCAAATAAAAAAATTAATAAAATATTTTTTAAAAAGAGTGCTGGAGATATAGTTCTGTCATAGAACAGTCACCCAGCATACCTGAATCTATCCCTAGAACCACAAAAACAAACAAACAGAACAGGTGTTAGCTTAGGTTTTTGCATCGTTTTGTTTTTAATGTGTGTGATGCGCATGTTCAGATGTGTGTGGGTATCCATTTGGGTATGGTACCTATACATGTGTGTGGAAAGACCTGAAGTTGAAGCGGGGTGTCTTTCTCCATCTCTGTCCACTCTATTTACTGAGGCTGGGTTTCTTGCTGAACCTGGAGTGCTAGGATTCAGCTGGTCTTGTTAGCCAGCTTGCCCAGAGATCCCTTGTGCCTGCTGGGATCACAGGTGGGCTACTGTGCTTGCCCTGCTTTTATATGGCTTCTAGGAATCTGCACGCCAATCCTCATGCTTGGACAGTGAGCACTTTATCTACTTAGCCATTCTCCCAGCCCAGGGTGGGGGGAGTTGTTGTGTTTTTGCATTCTGTGCCTGTGCTTTGCTGGTACTCTAAACATAAGTTTCCTTTTGGGTTATCAAGCGTGAGCTTTAAACCTGCTTGAATGAACCTTCTTGCAGGGCTGGGACATCTGGATGCAGGGTGTCACCCTCTTGAAGCCATTGTCCCAAATATTACTCCATCCATAAAATAGTTCTGGGAAGCCAGTAGAGCTGGTAAACAGCAACCATGGCTTCCTCCTCACTTTAGATCATCACACTATGGGCAGGCAGTGAGGTACACAGGAGGAGCATGAGGCTGGGTTCCAACTCCAACTCAGTAAGTCAAAGGTTGCTTGTAATTGTGACCCTGGGCAGTTTATACTATGAATCTCAATTTTTATATTTTTTAAAATAAAAAAAAATTTATTTACTTTTTTTTTTTTTTGGTCTTTTTGAGGGTCTCCCTGTAGCTCCAGCTGTCCTGGAACTCACTATGTAGACCAGGCTGGCCTTGAACTCACAGAGATCCGCCTGCCTCTGCCTCCCAGGTGCTGGGATTAAAGGCATGCACCACCACGCCCGGCCTTGTGTATTTTTTTGATAGAAGTAATAATATCTATATTGCTAGTACCTTAAGAGCTAAGTGAATACATTTTGCAAAGTGCTCACGGAGTACAGAGTAGACAAGTGAGGATGAGTTCTTAGTCTCACCTCTCAAGGCTGTCTGACAAGAATTGGGGCTTGATTTTACAAAGGAAGGAGTCAGACATCTGGAATTCAGGGCGGAACAACATCTCACCTTTCTTAATCCCCAGGTCTTATTTCCAACCTCTTCAGCAAACTCTTCATCATTTGTAAGAAGGAAATTGTCAAAGATGCTGCCTGATTTCACCTGTGAAATGAAGACAGTGAGATCGTCGACAAGGTACCAGAAGAGCTGGGGAGATGGCTCAGTTGGGTAAGTGTGCTTGCAACACAAGCATGAGGACCTGAGTTTGGATCCCCAGTACCCATATAAAAAGCAGTGTATGGCTACCAGGGCACCTTGCAACCTCAGTGCTGTTAGAGGCAGAGACAGGAAGATTACTGGAGCTTGTTAGTTACCAGCCTAGCTCTAGGCTCAGTGAGAGACCCTATCTCAAGGGAATGATGCAGAGAGTAAATAGAACAGGGCATCTGATATCCTCCTCTGGGCTTCTGTGTGCATGGATATGTATATAAAACACACCACACCACACACACACACACACACACACACACACACACACACACACATTTTCTGGAGGAACTGGGGATTTAGTTCAGTGATAGAATGCATGCTTTGTATATGCAAAGTCTTAGGTTCATTCTTATTGCACACACACACACACACACACACACACACACACACATTCCTATCAAAAGTCTCTTGCTAAATGCAGATTTTCAGGCCATATGCACAAAATTTTCATCAATAATGATTGGAAGAAGGGATTCAAAAGTTAATAATGTGGTGGATCCAGAATGCTATAGTGTCTCAGTTAATCTGCTCTAGAAAGAAGTCAAGCTTCCCAAGATTCTATGCTCCTTAAAGCCTCTGAACACTGCAGTAGACAGCTGTAGAGAAACGTTCACCAGTCTGCCGGCCTCCATGTTGGGGCACAGAGGTTCTACCTCAGTCCAGACTGGCAAATCTACTGGTGATGATGCTTATATATAAATGTAATGTTAGCCGGGTGTGGTGGCGCACGCCTTGAATCCCAGCACTTGGGAGGCAGAGGCAGGTGGATCTCTGTGAGTCTGAGGCCAGCCTAGGCTCCATGGTGAATCCAGGCCAGCTGTGGCTACAGGGAGACCCTGTCTCAAAAAGACAAATAAATAAATAAATAAATATTTAAATTACATTTATTATGCTGGGTATGGTGGTGCACACTTTTAATCCAAACACTCAGGAAACAGAGGCAGGCGGATCTCTGTGAGTTCAAGGCCAGCATGGTCTATATAGCAAGTTCTAGAACAGCTAGGACTATAGAGAGACCCTGTCTCAAAAAACAAAAACAAAAGCAAGGAAGGAAGGAAGGAAGGAAGGAAGGAAGAAGGAAGGAGGGAAGGAAGGAAGGAAGGAAGGAGGGAAGGAAGAAGGAAGGGAGGAGGGAAAGAAGATAGAGAGTTCAGCAGTTAAGTGTACTGGCTGCTCTTGCAGAGGACCTGGGTTCAGTTCCCATAACCCACATAGCTGCTAATAACCATCTGTAACTCCAGTTCTAAGGGATCTGATACCCTCTTCACCATCTTCTGACCTCTGAGGACTTACATACATGCAGGCAAAACACTCATACACATAAAATTAAAAAATAATAAATTTAGCTGGGCATGGTGGTGCATGCCTTTAATCCCAGTAGAAG